AAATTCATAGATAGATTTGGGATTGGAAGATACTTCTAAAATATCTTTTTATTCTCAAATCTTTTATATATTTTTTAAAATTTTGTCATAAACTCATGTATCAGCCTCTCCTCTTCATTAAGATCTGTTTTCTGTATTCTGTAATTATAAGTCTATAATTGTCCTACCAGATAGTCTCATTTTTACCAGAGTTAAAAATACGTTTCTCTTTGTGTATTTTATACATTTCAGACTGAGGTCACATTTTCTGATGATGTTATAAGAGCTTCTTTTAAACCAGAATTTGTTATTTTTACAGCAGATTTTATTAGTTTACTAGAATTTTTTCCCACTTTCTTTTTTTTAGTGACATAGAATATAGGGAGTACTTAAAACATATGTGTACTTTAAAGAATAATTATGAAGTGAAACACACACTCCCACCAAACCCATTTACTAAAATCTTTAGAAGTCTTTTTAAAGTTTTCATATAGTTTCGCAATTTCTTTTTACTGTCACTATTTCATTTACATCTTTTCTCCTCTACTTTATACTCTCTCTTGGTTCTGTTTTGCTAATCTCTTCATTGGAAAATGTCACTTTTATAGAATTATTAGTTTAGAGAAATTTGTTATTCTTTTTTTCTTTTCAAATTTGTTTAGTTCCTATGACCTGTTAGACACTGCTATAGCCCTTGGGTGTGCAGAAATGAGTGATTTTGAGGGGGAGTCACTAAGGGAATTGAGACAAAAGTTATAGTTGAATTCAGTGCTGCTTCATGCAATATTATGGATATAAGTTAAATTTGCCTATTACTAAAAATTACTTATTTTCACAGAAGCTGTTCATTTTTGTTGGAAATATAGATAAGCATAAAAATATGAATACTCCAAATCTGTCATCCTCTATCAATAGCTTGGTGAATCTCTTTCTAGATGTATACATATAAATTCACATTTGTATAACATACAGTATGAGCTCATAACATGCATACTATTTGTCAGGTTGTTTTTCACCCGCTAGTGTATTGTGACTATTTTTTTAAATCAATAAATACTTGTCTAAGGATTAATTCTGAAGGCCAAATAGTATTTAAAGGAAAACCATTTCTCTATCACAACACTTCTGATGCCAAACGTTTGGGTTTTCCACACCAACAACCAATTCTTCAATTTTTTTGTGACACCAACTGGGTGTCCTAGAATTTAATTCAATTCTGACACTACCGAATCTAGTGCAGACTCCACAGGTTAAGGGCTCAGTTCCAGAAGACTGCCTCCCTCTTCAGACACCAGCAGCAAATAGTGAAGTCCCCAGGTTACCCACACTTCTGTCCAACTTGGCTATAAATCAAGGTTCCCACAGCTGCCTCCTCAGATTATAATTCACTGGAATGGTTCACAGAACTCAGTGAAATACTTTACTTACTTTTGTTGGTTTGTTATAAAGGATACAAATGAACAACCTGATGAAGAGGTATGTAGGGTGAGATGTAGAAGTGTCCCAACCAAGGAAGCTTCTGTCCTCATAGAGTTAGGGTTTGCCACCAACCTGGCACATGGCAACTCACCAACCTTGGAAGCTCTTTGAGGTTAATGGAGGTTCTGTTATGTTGGCATGATTGATTATATCATTGCCTATTGGTGATTAACTCAATCTCCAGCCACTTTCCCCTCCCCAGAGGAAAATTCTATCTGGTTGTTTTTATTTACTTTTTTTTTTCTAAATATGTCAAACATTTTTTCACATGCTTATTAGTCATTTGATTTTTCTTTTATTAATTTCCTGCTTTGTCTTTTGTTCATTTCTTTTAGCATATTGTTTTATTATTAATTTCTAGTAGCTTAATATACAAAGAACAGTGATCCTCTGTTATATATATTGAAAATATTTTTTGTTTTGTTGTCTTTTAATTTTGATACTAAAATTATAATTTCCCTTATCATAAGTTTCTGCCTCGTGTTATTCTTGAAAAGCCTTCTCCACTTCTAGATTTTAAAGCAGTTGTATAGATGGAATCACACTCTTCCTATGTCCCTCCTCACCCCCACCCTTCACACTGACCTTTGTGATTACAAGTGTATACATTGAAAACCCCACCAGATGATGTTATAATTTTTGTCTTAAATAATCATAAGTATTTTAAAGGAATTCAGAGGGAAAAGGTAGTCTTTTATATTTACCCAACTCTTTGTCACTTCAGTCGTTCTTCTGTTATTCTTGATGTTCCAGATTTCCTTTTGGCAGCATTTCCCATCAACCTGAAGAACTTCTTTTAAAATATCTTTTAAAGAAAGTCTGTTGGCAATAGATTTCTTTAATTTTCTTTCACTTGAAAAATGTCTATTTTGCCTTCATTCCTGAAGGATGTTTTTGCTAGATATAGAATTTTTAAAAGGTTTTTTTCTGCTCGAGTATCTTTTTTCTTTTCCATCTGGACCTCCACTTATATGTATTTTAGATCTACACGTCCCTGAGCATTTTATTGCAATTTTTATTCCTTTCTTCTTCAAACTGGGTAATTTTTATTGATCTATATACAAATTCACTGATTTTTTCCTCTGTCATCTCCATTCTGCTATTCAGCCCAGGGAGTTTTTTGTTTCAGTTATTGTCTTTTTCAGTTCTAAAATTTTCTTTCTTTCTTTATGGTTTCTATTTCTCTGCTGAGAATTTATATCTTTTGTTTCATTTTAATATGTTTTCTATTACCTTATGGAGAATAGTTATAATCATTGCTCTAAAGTCTGCCTGATAGTACCAACATCTGGGTCATCTCAGAGGTGGCAACTGTTGATTGTATTTTCTTTTGAGAGTTGTTAAATTTTCCTAATTCTTTGTATGTTGAGTAATTTGAGATTGTATCCTGGATGTTGTGTATGTTGTGTTGTGTAGACTCTGAGTTCTGTTATAATCTTCTGGAGAATGTTGATGTTTGGTGTTAGCAGGCAGTCAGTCCAGTTAAGATCAGACCATGAGTTCTGTCTCACAGTGTCTGGGCAGACAGTGGTTAAGTCTCAGTTTCATTCTCTAAACTTTTCTTATGCTGTTTGGGGCTCTCCTGTACATACATAGTTTGGAGATTAGTCTGAGACTTTTATGGGTTTTTCAAATCTCAAGTCAGTTCTCTTAAGCCTTTGCTTGTTGGTACTGGATTTTCCCGTGCATGTTTTATTCAGCAATTAATACTGAGACTTGTGCCAGAGATTCAAATTTTAGTTCAGTTCTTTAAGCCTTTGCTATGTTGATTTGGGTCTAACCTAAGCATGTTAGTTCAGGGGTTAGGCTGAGACTTGTGCAGGTTCATAAACAGAATTAGGGGATTCTTTTCCCTAGCTCTCTCCTCTCCATATTTGTCTGATACTCTCCATTTTTTTCAGAGTTGAAAATTATCAGTTTCATTCAAGTTCAGTTAGTATTTTAATAAATTATACTGACTAAGTAATAAAGCTAGCTATATTTAAGAGAAAAACTAAAAAATTTAATTTGATGAAAATTTGTTGAGAACTTACTATATAATTTTGTACTAGGTAAGGGACATAGAAATATGAGTTACACAGAGGCCCTGCTCTTACATAAATTACAGTCTGATAGGGCAAACTATATAGCATGGTAAGTAATATAGTAGAATTAGGTACAGTAAGCACATTCACTCAGCAAGTATTTATTGTGTACTATGGGCCAGGCAATGCTCTGGACACTGAAAATATAGTGCTGAACAAGATAGGCATACAGGAATAAGTTTAATAAAATAGTTGAATTAGTCCATTTAGGGGTATGTTAAATATTGTGAAATCAACTGAAAAAGTTATGTTTTAGAAATATTCTGATTAACTACATGGTTTTCTATGGTACGCATTAGCTGAGTGCATTGTGTTATAATTCTACTTGGTAGAATTATAAATAGTATTTTCATTCTCTCTTGGTATCTAAAATGTAATGAACCTCAAGGTTAAATATTGAATTTGGTTTGGACACAATCCATGTTAACTCTATAAAATCAATAAAACTTCACATTCTTAACAAAAGCAGCAGAGTATGCAAATCAGCTTTATAGTGATCTTTCAATAATCAATGTCTTGTTTTTAACACTTTATAAGTTTAATTTAATGACAGTTTTAAAAAATAAATTGTCAAGCTAGTCCCATTAGTGAAAGAAAAAGGAATGGTACCGTTTAAATTTTAAACGAAAAAAGATCAAAATCATATATTCATCTGAATATGTTAATTTCTTCTGGAGACCTTTTTGTACTATCACTGTAACTCTTAGAGTTAACTTTGGAGTTTCTCCTTTGGCTATTTTCTTAAACATCAGTTTATCTGAGGAACATTACTCATTTTTATTACATTTTCAGAAAAAATAGGTAACATTAAAAAATTCTTTCTGTTGAACTCATCACAAAAGTATTCATAGTACTTTAAAATTGGATGCACTAGATCAGATAAATGATCTGGCTTTGTATAAAACAGTGTGTTTCAGTTATTTATTGCTGTGTAATAACCCATCCCAAAAGTTAATTGGCTTGAAGCCATAATCATTTATATTTATTTGTTTATGATTCTGCAGTCTGGATTGGACTGATCTGACTAGTGCTTCTGCTGGTCTCTTCTGGGGTCTCTCATGCAGCTGCAGTTTTCTGGAGGCTTCACTAGAGCCAGTGGGTCCAAGATGTTGGCATCTCAGTTGGCAAGTCTGGATTGGCTAGGGGCTGGCTGAGCCTCTCTCCTTCCATGTGGTCTCTCATGGAAGCCTAGCATCATTTCAGTAGCCTAGCATGATCATTCGTCTAATAAAACATACGTTGATTGTTTGACTAGCTTTGTTACCCTTATTATTATATTGTTTTAGTGAGAAAAAACCAAATTATATTACTTCATTTTTAATGATAATATCTTTTCCAGGAAAAATGGTGACATGTCGTAAGTTTAAGAAGTAATCTGGTCTTTGAAATGGTTTATCATTTGCCGTGTCTTAAAAGATTAACATCATGTAATTAGCTTAATAATTTTGTTTTAAACAGGCAATTGCTGGCTACTTTGATATATATTTTGAGAAGAATTGCCACAACAGGGTAAGTATCATGAGTTATCTCTTAAGAATTAATTATGTGAAGTACACTGTACATTTTATTCTTGTGCCTCAAGGTGTTTGATCAGAAGCATTTTGCTTTTGTAAGCAATTGGAGCTTGTATTTGATGTAGTAGATTAATGTACCATGATATTAAAAATCTTGCAAAAAGAAAATCTTGTACTTCATCAGATACTTTTGAACTTTACCAATGTAGGTCGTGTTCTCTACGGGCCCCCAGAGTACCAAAACACACTGGAAACAAACAGTATTTCTACTGGAAAATCCATTTTCAGTTAAAGCAGGTGAGAGAAAAATAGAGGGGGAAAAGTGTCTTACTTATTTTGAGATAAACAACATTCATTTTACAACCAGTTTTTATTTATTTATTTTCTTTATTTCCTTTTTTATACCACTTTTCATATGCCCACTGTATTTGAAACAATTTAATAGATCCTAAGATAAAATGTTCTTAGAGCTTACCATCTAAATCAATTTTAGATAGCATATCATTTAATTAAAGACAATTTAAGAAAGTTTCGTATTCACATCTAATTTCTGCCAATTAAAATAAGTGGGGAAAATTACGTAGTTCTTAGAGAACCACAGAATAATTCAGAAAACTTTTCTTTCGGCAATAACTAGTATTTAATAAGGTGCAACTTTAACTAAAACAAAATATTTTCATTTCCCAAGTGACTAAAGAGAAATATCACCAATAGAAGTAAAGTGTAAATTAAAAAGAATGTCCTTCAATAGTTATTGTATTAAAATATATTTGTCTAGAATTCTTTTCACTATCTCTTCTCCATGTGTTCAAGTCTTACACAGTGTTCATGGATGTGTCAAATTCTGTGTTCCTTTGTTTTAACCTCATTGATTGTTTCACTTATATTAGCACCTTTAGTTCTTATATACCTACACAGAAGTTAGAATTTGAATTTTTTTACTTAAACTGATTATTACATATGTGTCTTCTTGTCCCACTTTCACTGAAAGCCTCCTGAGGGAAGGAAAACTAAATGTACAACAAGCTTCAATGAAAAGATACCCATCACTAGTAACTCAGGGAAAGGCTGACTAAAACCAGGAGACACTGTTTCTCTTCCATCAATTCCAGTTAAAAATAAAGTTTAACAATGCAAAATGCTGGCAATAATGTAGCCAGACAGAACTTTCATACTCTTTTGCTGGTAGTTTTAATTGGTACAACTTTAGGGAACAGTTTGATACTATGAAATTAAGTATAGGTGTACTCATCCTTACAACCAAGCAGGTTGTAAGGTGTTTTTTTCCTAGGCATATATTCTGAACAATCTCTCTCACACTGGTGTACTAAATCTTCACAGCAGTATGGTTTGTAGAAGTGAAAAATTAGAAGCAACCTTAATGTTCATTAGCAGAATATGGATGAATTAATAAGGTAGTTGCATAGAATAAAATCTCTACAGCAGGTATGTATGTATGTGTGTCTAGAAAAAGCAACATTGAGCAAAAAAAAAAAAAAAAGTTGCAGAATGACTCCTACAATATATCACTTTATGAAGTTTAAAAACATGTAAAATAACTGTACATACACATATATAGTAAAACTGTGAAGCGACACTTAAGGATAACCACTAGATTCAACATAGTGTTTACCTCTGGGGAAGGACAGAAGTAGGATAGGGCAGGCTACAAAGGAGGTTCAATGTCATGCATACTGAACTCTTTCTTTTAAAAATAATTTTTTAAAAACTATTTCTTTTAAAAACTATGGCAGGGGGCCGGCCCGGTGGCGCACTGCTACAGTGCGCCGCTTGGGAGTGCGGCGGCGCTCCCGCCGAGGGTTCAGATCCCACATACAGACCAATTAAACTTTATTTACCAAACAGGCAGCTTGGCTCAACCTTTTGAAAAATAAATCTCCACACACAGATTGCTTCACTGGCAAATTCTTCCATCCACTTAAAGATGAAATAACACTAATTTTACAGTCTGTTCCAGACAATAGAAGAAAAGGGAACTAATTTTATGAGGCTAGTATTACATTGATACTAAAACTATATAAAAATAGTATAAGAAAATTAAGCTATAGACCAGTATCCATCATGAATATAGATGCAAAAATTCTCAACAAAATATTAGCAAATTGAATCCAGCAATATATAAAAAATAATAATACACTATGACCAAGTGGGGGTTTACCCTAGGAATGCAAGCCTGATTTAGTATTTTAAAATCATACTATCTACCATGTTAACAGTCTAAAGGAGGAAAAATCACGTAATTGCACCCACAGATGCAAGAAAAGCATTTAACAAAATTGAATGTCCATTTATGATAAGAAATAAAAGAGAACATCCTTAATCTAATAAAAGGCATCCACACAAAATCTACACCTAACATCACACTCAATGGTGAAAGACTGAATGCTTTACCCCTAAGTTTGGGAAGAGGGAAGCATGTCCGCTCTTACCACTCTTATCTTGTATATTGGAAGTCTTAGCCAGTGCACCAAGGAATGAAGAAGAATTAAAAGACATAAGAAAGGAAGAAATAAAATTGTCATCATTTACAGATAATATGATCATGTACATAGAGAATTCTAAGTAATCTACAAAACCATAGAGCTAATGAGTGAACTTAGCAAGGTCCATGATACAAGGCCAATATACAAAAGCCAGTTGCATTTCTACACACTAGCAATGAAGAATTGAAGATTTAAAAAAACGTAATAACACTTACAGCAGCATCAAGAAAAAATAAAAGCTTAGGAATAAATTTAGCAAAATATATGTAAAACCTGTACACTCAAAACTAGAACATTGCTGAGAGAAATTAAAGAAAACCTAAATAGAGGGCCGGCCCGGTGGCGCACTGCTATAGTGCACCGCTTGGGAAGTGTGGCGGCGCTCCCGCCGAGGGTTCGGATCCCACATACAGACCGGTTCCCGCTCACTGGCTGAGCGAGGCGCGG